TAGTTGAAGGTGTCCCTGGTGTTGGAATGAACTTCCAGGTGCCTTCCAACCCAAACCACCCTGTGATTCCAGATTCTGTGATGTCACCTGCTTCCTTTTTAACTATGTAAAAAGTCAAAAGCTACAATTTAATCTGTTCTGGATCACCCCAAAACACAGCCAGGGGGATGAATGAGGGGTGTTTAAGGGTGTACCTTTAATCCCAGGGGGTCCCACAAGCTTTTCAGACCCTTCTGTGCATCATCTCTGTTCTTCTCCTGTGTAAAAGCCTGGACATTTTGCACTGACCTTGAGCCCTGGCAAGGTCTTTCCTTGCTGCACCTTGAGCAGGATTTGCTTCTGGCATGCAGGAAGTTAAAAATCCTGGGGCTACTGGTCCTTCTTGACAGCACTCATTGTCTCCCATGCCCTGCTCCTGGCAGAGGCAGATGGGTGGCCTTGCCATGTCCTGTTTCTACAGCTTGGCAAGCAGATAAAGCTCCTTGTGTTGCTCCTGCATGGATGGGACAGGCCTGGCTCTGCTTGGAGGAGGGGTTGAGTAGTTCTCTACTGTCCCCTTCTGCCTGCTCCCCATTCTGTCATATCTGCTGCAAATGGCTGTGTTGGTCAGAGTTGAAAATAATTCTAGAAAATTGGGAAAGGGTTGAGTCAGCATCTGATGTTTTTCTTCTTGTTTTCCACAGCTTGAATCAATAAGTTGCAATGTGAAACTCTGAGCTCTGTTTCCAAGAATAAATGTCAGCCTTTGGGAACTGAAGGACTGCACAGAGGTCACTGATGTCCCAAATCTCTTTTGGCAAATGGGATTTCAGCTGGAAAGTCCTTCTCCACAGAGCTGCTCTCCATCCATCATCCATCCATCCATCCATCCATCCATCCATCCATCCATCCATCCATCCATCCATCCATCCCCCAGTCTGTGCTGGTACTGGGGGTTTCCCTGGCCCAGGTGCAGGACCTTTCTAGCCAATCCCATCACTAGTGATTTAAACAGATTTTATTTGTATTGCTTTGAGGCCATGAAACACTGTGGAAGATGTTTCTCCCAACTCCATAGAGTTCCTAGGAAGGATTCCTTATTATTTGCTCCCAGGGACCAGGTTGTTGTTGGGCTTTCAGGTCTGTGCTTCCTCCTTGCATTCACCTTTAAGAAATACCCAACATTCCATAAGTGAAAGTGCCAAGCTAAACAAGAAAGGTGTATTTTTTTTTGTTTTAATTTCCTTCAAGGAACTGTTCTCAGAATCTTCTTTCATTTTTTATTGAAAGAGCTACGTCTTTGCCAAAAAGATCCTTCCAGCTTTGTCAGGTAACTCAGCTGGGAATTATCTTGGAATTACACTTTTCTCGATGATGTTGGGTGGTTATTGTCAGTAAAGACTTGCAGGTTGCTGAGCTGAGGTTTCTTAGTCCCAGCAAAGAGTGAGTGAGTCAGCTGGAGGGCTGAGCACCTTGTAAGCAAAGTGACTGTCACCATGATGTCCAGAGAGCTCTGGTGGCAGTGTCTGCACTTACCTACCTGTGCCTGCCAGCACCTGCCTGCTCCTGCCTGTGTGCCTGTCCCTCCCTTCTGCTCCTGCCTGCTCCTGCCTGTGTGCCTGTCCCTCCCTTCTGCTCCTGCCTACTCCTGCCTGCTCACTCTTGATCCTGTCTGCTCCTGTCTGCTCCTGCCTGCTCCTGCCTGCTCCTGCCTGTTCCTGTCTGCTCCTGTCTGCTCCTGCCTGTTCCTGTCTGCTCCTGCCTGCTCCTGCCTGTTCCTGTCTGCTCCTGCCTGCTCACTCTTGATCCTGCCTGTTCCTGTCTGCTCCTGCCTGTTCCTGTCTGCTCCTGCCTGCTCCTGCCTGCCTGCAGTGTTACCAGCCTGGGCTGTGTCTGCTCTCTGTCAGACAGGGGCCTCATTAGCTGTTGGCAGAGGGAGGAGAAAGAGTTTGTGCCCCTGCCTGCAGCCCTGCTGCTCCTGCACTGTCTGGGCTCCCTCCCAGGCAGGTAACAGCAGACCCAGGGGCTTCTCAGGGGTGTGAGACTCAACTTTGGACCAAAGGCTCCTTCTCCCTCCCAGCAGAGACTGGCCATGGGGATAGCCATCTCTGCTCTCTCTGTGCTCAGTGCCAGTGGGAATGGAGCAGACATCCTGAGTGGGATGTGGGGTGTGGGGAGCCTGACTCATCCTCTGAGACATCCCATCTGCCCCCTCAGTGCCACTCTGGCATGAAGTGATGCTGGCCATAGCACGGCAGTGTTGTGGTACTTCAGCTTCCCGTGGCTGAATGTCACTGGCTGTGAATGGTTAAATAGATCTGAGTGAGTCACTTAAACAGACACCGTGGATGTGAAAATAATTGTCTGGGCAGCCTGTGCCTGCCAGGCCGCCAAGTAATCCTCACACGGCCTGTGACTCAAAGCGAGCCAGAAGGAGTGTTCTTCATGCTGCTCAGTTGGAAATATTTGGAGGGAAGGCATCCAGCCCTGTTCCCTGTCCCCTCCTTCCATCAGTGTGCTCTTGTCCTCTCCCTGAGTGGCCAGCATAGGACTGTGCTCACCACTTGTCCTGTGTGTCCTCAGTGGCAGCTTCACAGCAGTGCACAGAATCCACACAGAATCATAATGGATCTTAAAGACCATCTCATTTCTCATATCTCATCTCATCCCATCCCCTGCCATGGGCAGGGACACCTCCCACTGGACCACGTTGGTCCAAGCCCTGTCCAGCCTGGCCTTGGGCACTTCCAGGGATGGGGCATCCACAGCTTCTCTGGGCACTCTGTGCCAGGGCCTCACCGCCCTCACAGGGAGAAATCTCTTCCCAATATCCCATCTCAGCCTGCCTCCTGAGAGTGGGAAGCTATTCTCCCTTGTTCTGTCGCTCCAGGCTCTTGTCCCCAGTCCCTCTCCAGCTCTCCTGGAGCCCCTTTAGGCTCTGAAAGGGGCTCTCAGCTCTCCCTGGAGCCTTCTCCTCTCCAGGTGAACACCTCCAGCTCTGCCAGCCTGGCTCCAGAGCAGAGGTTTTTCAGCCCTCAGGGCATCTCTGTGGCCTCCTCTGCACTTGCTCCAGTAGCTTCACATCCTTCCTAGGCTGGGGACTCCAGAGCTGGAAGCAGGTCTGCAGGTGAGGTCTCACAAGAGCAGAATAGAGGGGGGATCCCTCGGCCTGACTTGACAGGGAGAAGGGAAAGCAGAGGGAAAGGGCGGGCAGTGAGTTCTGTGAAATTGTTCAGTAGAACTGAAGGTGGATATGGGTGGGAAGGGACCTTGGAGGCCCCTGGCCAGTCCCTTCCAGCAGGTCCAGTGCTCAGCCTTTCACCCAGCCATGCTCAATATCCTTGGGCACATACATCCCACAGCCCCTCTGCATCCAGTATTTGACTCCATCATGGATGATTTTCTTCTTAATATCTAATTTGCATTTTGCTTGTCCCAGCTTGGTCCAGCACTGCTTGTCCTCTTCCTGTGCACCTCCAAGCTTCAGTAGGAAACTGAAAGTCACCTCCATGGAGCAGCATGGCCCCAGCTTTTCTCCATGCTCCTGCAGGTCTCAGACAGCAGTAGGAACCCCCTTGGCTTTCCTCTTTCCAAGTGAACAGTCCCAGCTCAGCCCATCCCTGTGTCCATGGCAGCTTGTTGTCTCCAGCATTCCTGGTCTTCTTACCCAGCCTGGATGGCTACAGGGAGTTACTCAGCCCAGGCTGGTTTATTTCTTTATTAAGAAATAATTATTAATTCCTTATTATTATGGTTATTAATTTCTTACTATAACGGTTTCTTATTGTTTATTACTTTCCCATTATTGCAAATTCTTTCGAGAAATTTCTTCATATTAAAATTTCTTATTATTTCTTTATTTCTTATTATTACAAGTTTTTTTAAGAATGGGGAAAAATAATTAGTCGCTTAAATGAGAATTTAAACTGAAAATGTCCCATTCCTGTCACTGCCTTTGTGCCTGTTGTCCAGCAAATATCCTGGGGTGAAGGATTTCACAGATGTGTTCCTTCTCTCCTTTTCCCAATAGTGCTGAAGCTTGTAGCTCGGGGATGGGAATGTGTACAGCCACCAGAACAACAGGACCTTCCCCCAAAACATTCCCATCATCAGGATTTTCTAATTGTGCCTGTGACTGGCAGCTGGCATCAGAACCATTGACATGAGTCAATGAGTCAGTATGCCTCAGCTCTATTAAACGAAGTTTTATTTAATTAAGTCTTGATCTCATCAAAATCAAGAGGGAGTGTTGGGGTGGCAGCAGCCGAGCTGCACTGGCAGACCCCAGTTGGGTCCATGGGGCTGTGCCCCTGCTCCAGCCCTGCTGTCTAAGGGGGTCTGGCACTTCCTGAAGCACTGACTGGTGAGGGGCACATCTGCAAATCCTGGCTTCTTTCAGGACACGCTGGTTTCTGGGAGAGGAACCTGTATGTGATCACAGATTCACAGGATGGTTTGGGTTTGAAGGGAATTGGAAAGGTTCCCACCATGGACAGGGACACCTTCCACTATCCCAGCTTACTCCAAGCTCCATCCAGCCTGGCCTCAGACACTTCTTGGGATGGGGCAGCCACAGCTGCTCTGGGCAGCCTGTGCCAGGGCCCCACCACCCTCATGGTCGACATTTCTTCCCCCATGTCTAACCTGACCTCAATTCAACACTTGTGCTGGGGCCCCAGAGCTGGAAGCAGCTGGAGGTCTCAGGAGTGTGAGGAGAGTCCAGCATGGAGCATGAGGTGGGAGTGCTCCCAGTCTGGATTGTAGGAGTGCTCCTAGTCCGGGGGTGGAAGTGTTCCCAGTCTGAATTTTGGGAGTGCTCCCAGTCTGGATTGTGGGAGTGATCCCAGTCTGGATTATGGGAGTGCTCCCAGTCTGGGGGGGTGGGAGTGTTTTCAGTCAGGGGTTGGAGATTCTATCAGTTAGGGGGTTGAAGTGCTCACAGCTCAGGTCTGTACATGCAGGGCAGCAGGTTTTAGTGGTGTCTGCAGCACATCCACGTTTGCTCTTTGCTCTCTCCCCAGAAACGAAAGAGGAGCTGGAGGAGCTGATGTCTGACATCAAGAAGACGGCGAACAAAGTGCGCTCCAAACTAAAGAGTGAGTGTTGGCCTCTGAGGCAGCTGTGGGGCTCTGCCTGCAGCACTCTTGTGGAAATACTGGAAATACTCCCAGGGATGAGCATCACCTTCCCTCTCTGCTGCACCCTCCAGGTGCTTTATTTGTCCCCTTGTGCCTCGTTCCCAGAATGGAGTTGAGGGAATGGGGCCACGAGCAGCTGGTGGGCTCTGAGTAAGTCCTGTGCCACACCACTGGCAGGGGTTGGATGCTGGGCACACCCCCAGCTTGGCCAAAGGTTCTGTTCAGGTCTGGGTGAGTGAAGAGGTGCTGCTGTGGGATGTGCTGCAGGATGTGACCTTCAGTTTCCACTACTGGAGGAGTCAGTCAGTCTCTGAGATGTGAGAAGAAGGTGCCTGTCAACTCACTGATGGTCAGGGTTGTCTGGAGCACTCAGACAAGCCCAGAATTCCAAGACTGGACCCCAGGGGACTGAGGGAGTCAGAGAGGATGGCAGGTCATCCCTGGCACCTCGGATTTGCCTGTGGTGGTCTTGGACATCAGTCTGGGGTTTGGTTGACCTTGGTGCAGGAGACCTGGCTGTGTTTGAAGGGTAGGAGAGGAGCTGGTGCTTCCCCCAGGGCAGCAGTGTCTTCACTAATCCCAGGGTTTTGTGGGAATCTTGCAGTTGTGGAGGACTCAGATATGCCTGGAGCCCTTTATTAGGTAGATCACCAGTGTTGTGGCATGTCCCATGCGTGGGCCAGGAGATCTGTGCCTCTGTTGTTCCCATGCTCCCTTTGTCCTCCTAACACGATCTCAACTGGAGCCAGGAAGGAGAGCCAGGGGCCATCTTACCTATTCCATAGTCCAAGGCATCCAACCAGTTCCTATGGCCCTGAACACACTGGGATTCCTGGTGATAGGGTTTGGCCTTAGAAAACCAAAAATCCCTTTCCCAAAGTGTTTTGTTCAGTGTTTTGTAAGGGACTTTGAAAGCCTGAAGGATTGTAGGACAGGCTCCTGTTTCCTGCTTCCAGAAAAGCCTCTCTGGTATCATATTTACCTGGAGCAGCAGATGATGAGTCCATGTGCTTTGTCCCAGATTGCCTCATGGCCAGCATGATCAATGACAGAAAACAGTCAGGACTAATCAAAAACAACATCTGCTGACAACAAACTGACTTCTTCAGGCCAGACATTACTCATGCAGGGGCTAATTACTGGCTTCTTGGGCAAATGTGATTTTACTAATGATCAGAAATGCCCAGTGTTTGCCAATACCATTCCTTGGGGATGGGGAGTGGTTTGTGACAAGTGTGAAGGAAGCCCAGTTACTGATGAAATACTCTGAGCTGTGCTGGAGGGTGAGGGGCAGCTCCAGGGACAGGGGAGGCCCTGCTGCAGGAGGAGCCTGTGCTGGGCTTGAGGGACCTGCTCCAGAATGGAAGGTGCTGGGGACAGCTGGAGTCTGAGAGCTGTGGGACATCAGTGTTGGAAATGAGATCTTCAGCCAAACTCCAGGGATGCCACCAGCTCACACTGGGTGGTTTACGTGGAGATTTGTGTCTCTGCACACTGGCCAGAAACTTCCATGTTTTTAAGTCCTTGAAATTAAGTCTTTGAATTAGAATGTCCTGAGCTGGCCTTGAGGAGCAGGTTTCATAGAATCCTGGAATGATGGAATGGTTTGAGTTGGAAGAGGCCTTGAAGGTAATCTCATTTCACTCCCTGCCACGGGCAGGGACCCCTTCCACTACACCAGGTTGCTGCATGCCCTGTCTGACCTGGCCTTGAACTTCCAGGGATGGGGCAGGATTGCATTATCCTGCTCTGTGCTGCCCTCCTGCCCTGCACCCCTGTGACCTCTCCCTGCCTGAAGCAGTGACAGTGCTCCTCCCTGCCATGATTCACAGGCTTTGGGCAGGGAGGCCTTCATGTCAATTATCTTCATAATTAAGGGGCAGATCCCTGTGCTGCTACATGGATGCTCAGCACGGTGCAGGGCACTCATGCCAGCATGGTGGGTACTCCCTGTGCTCCAGACAGCTGGAGGAGCTGCTATTTTTAGGTTCCCTGGAGGAGTCTTGAGGTTTGGTATTTTGCAGAGACACTTCAGCTCTGGATTTCCTCCTCCTGCCTCTCTGGTGGAAACAGCTCTCTAATTTGTTTGAATACTGGCAATCAGACCTAAACATCACATTGATTTTATGTGGAAGTCCTGGCTCACCAGCCTGGGGGTGACAGTGCTGCCCATTCAGTCCCAAATCACAGCCAGTGGCCAGGCACCAGGTGCTTTGCAGTCATGAAACAGGGCTTTGCTACCAGGCTGAATAGTGGAGTCAGGATTTGGGGACTGCCCAATACCAGCTGCTCCTCAATCCAGTCTTTCACAGTCCCTTTGCCAAACAATCCCTTTCCTTTGGTTAAGCACTGGAACAGGCACTCTGGCAAAGTGGTGGAGTCACCATCTCTGGAAGTGTTCAAAAAATGAGTGCGTGTGGCATTTGGCAGTGTGGTTTAATGGGTTTGAGGTAATTGGTCGAAGGTTGGCTTTGATGATCTTGGAGGTCTTTTACAGCCTTAATGGTTCTGTGGTTGTTCTCCAAACAGCACAAAGTAATGTGTCCTTGTACCCTGAGCAGGCATCGAGCAGAGCATTGAACAAGAGGAAGGACTGAACAGGTCATCGGCTGACCTGCGGATAAGGAAAACCCAGGTGAGCCTCTGCCCTGTGGCACCAGGATGGGGAATGTGAGGGATCCCAGGAAGTGCTGGGGGAGATCTGTGCTTGGCTATGGAGTAGATTTCTCTGTCCTTCTGCCCAACCATGCAGAGCTGCTGTGTAAATTTTACCTTCTGGTGGTGCTTTGGTGAGAGAGCACCCGGTGGGATGCAGCCATTGCTCCAGCCTGGAATCTGTCCTTGCATCCCTGCAGAGCTGTGTCCTCTGTACTGGGGGATGTGGGTGAAGATGAGGCATCTCAGAGCCTTGTTCTGCAATCAAAAATGTGTTTTAGCAAACCATTAAAGGGATAAAGACAACAGGAACAGCCAGTGCTGCTGGGGTGGTGTTTAACCTGATGGGTCCTTTATCACCTGGTCCCATGTTCAGGGAGTGAAGAACTGCTAGACCTGAGTGAAACAAATCCTTTCCCCGTTTTATGAGTTCAATCACAAGGTACATTTTGATATGTTTTTTATTTGCTGCAAATATTCAGGTAGGTTTATTTAATATCTGAGAGCCATTTAAAATGCTTTTTTCCAACCGATTTTGCACAAAACTCCTTCAAAAATCAGATGCATATTGTAGACGTGTGGGATGCCCACGTGAACAAAAAATAACAATCTGAGATAATAAACACTGAGTTAAGTAACTTCTTAAGCAAAAGAGATGTAGCATGGTGTGCTAGTGAGCAGGAAGGGTGTCACTCAACACCCAGGCTATATTTGGCTCCAGATCAACATATGTTGATAGTTTTCAGCTGAATGAGAATGAAGTGGATTTTAGGGAAAACAGTTTTGGAACAGCAGAAGAGTCACTTGGATGGCACGTCACGTTGTTGCTGGATTTTGAGCTGAGATGCCTGGGAGCTGCTCTGGGCCAGCACCTGTCGAGCAGAGATGGAGCTGGAGCTGCCAGGGGCGTTGGTGTGAGCTTGTGGTGGAGGAGGCAGGAGATGAGCTGAGGCTCTCCATAAATACTGTGCTGCTGCTGGCTTAGAATAGCTGCAGAGCCAGTGCAGGTGCACCCTGGAGATGTCTCCAGTGTTTTCTCCTGGTGGGGCTGTGCTGGCTGGGGCTGCTCCAGGTGTGTGAACCCCTGCACCAACACATCTGAGTGCTGGTGGTACCAGTCTGACATTCCCTGCTCCCTCACTGTGCAGAGATTGTCCAGAGATGGAAATGGAGCTGGAGAAGGGTCTGGAGCACAGATCTGGTGAGGAGCAGCTGAGGGAGCTGGGGGAGCTCTGTCTGGAGAAAGGGAGGCCCAGGGGGGACCTTCTCACTCTCTGCACCTCCCTGACAGGAGAGTGCAGTCAGCTGATGGCTGGGCTCTGCTCCCAGGGAACAAGGGACAAGAGGAAACAGCCTGAAGTTGTGTCAGTGGGGGTTCAGGTTGGGCATCAGGATGAATTTCTCCACTGAAAGGGTTGTCAGGCATTGGAAGGGGAAGCCCAGGGAGGTGTTGGAGTCCCCATCCCTGGAAGTGTTGAAGGAACAACTGGAGGTGGCACTCAGTGGTCTGGTCTGGTTGAAAAGGTGGGGATCAATCACAAGGTTGGACTTGATGATCTTGGAGGTCTTTTCCAGCCTTAATGATTGTGTGATTGTGCCTTTGAGCAAGGCTGGGTTCTGTTCCCCCAGCACTGCAGAGTGATCCCCACGGGTCCATTCTGTGCCTGTGCAGGCTCTGGCATGTCCTGGCAGCACAGCAGTGACAGGCAGGGCTCAACCCAGGCCACTGCCATGGCCTCACCTCCAGGCTTTCAGGCACGAGTAGTGCAGGGAGGGTCCTGCCAGCCTCCCAGGGCATCTGCTCGGGGCTGGAGGCTGTGCCTGGGTAGGGCTGGATGAGGGATGCTGTGGGCAGCAGTGCAGGGGCTTTGCACCACCTAATTAGTGGTTTGTTTATTAGTCTTGTTGGTTTTTTTCTCAGAGCCAGGATTAACAGAAATATGGTTGAAACAGTTTTTCTTGTGTTCGGGCTTGGATGTTTATTATATTTTATTAGAAAGTACAGACAGCACTTCCAGCTCATTGCTAGAAGTGAGGAAAATGGCTACAGAGGCAACTGCTGCAAGATCTTTTAAGGCTAAACAGTTTAATAGAGAATTAACTCTTATATTATTTATACTTTTGACCTAATAACTACATTCCCATGACCTTTAGAGTGACACTAACTGACCAACTAGAAACTATTACTTGAAATTCATGAAGAAGAAGGAAGAAGAAGAAAGATGAACAAAGAGACACCACCCAAAATCTTCCATGTTGTCCTATACCTGTTACTATACTATAAAAACCTTAAATTTAAAACCCATCACCCTGTGAAAGCACACACTTCTAATTCACTACACATTTGTGTTTTCTACTTCACCACTCATATTTAGAAGCCGTCTCTAAGGCCTCAGGTCAAAAGCAGTGTTTTCCAGGGGGTCTGTGCCTGAAAGCACAGAAAGCTGAGAAATTCCAGATTTCTGGGATCCGACAGGGTGCCTCTGCTCCACTCCCCTGCGGATGTGTCACCTGCTGCCACCTGCCCCCCTGTGCTCTGTCACACTCTCTGGAGCAGCATTTGGGCTGGGAATGCTTTTGGGGTGGTGCAGGAGGTGCTCAGGGCTGAGCTTTCCCTCCCATGGAAGCCTCATCTCCCCGTGTCCTTGTGTCCCCTGCCAGCATTCCACGCTGTCCCGCAAGTTCGTGGAGGTGATGTCGGAGTACAATGCCACGCAGACCGACTACCGGGAGCGCTGCAAGGGCAGGATCCAGAGGCAGCTGGAGATCAGTGAGTAAACCTGGAGTGGGAGCACGGCTGTGCTGGGTGTGCCATGGGGACACGTCCTGCACTGGCTCCCAGTGGATCAGAGCTGCTCCCAAAGCTGGGCAGAGCCTCCCAGGGAAACGTGGGATGCGCAGGAGCCCAGGGAGTGACTGGAACACGGCTGCTGTGGGACATGCACATGGGGTGGCACCTTGGGCAAAGTGCATCCAGCAAAGTACATCCCAAAATGCTGCAGAGAGAGCACGGGAATCACAGGAGAGGACTCTCTTCTGTGTTTGTAGCTAATTTTTAATTCAAAGAAACCCGTGGGAATTCCTGATTCCTGTGTGTACTTGTCCTTCCTCAGCGTGCTCTTCATGGATGAACTAAGCTAAACATGAAAAGAGAGAAGGAAATTCTTCAGATGGGAGCACTCCCTGCTCCTGATGGTCTCCCTTGCACAGGAAGAGCAGAGGTGTCTCTGGGCCCAGGACCTGATGGCTTTTAGCAGCCATTATGTTGTGGCCAAGGGTGGACCTCAGGTGACACCTGTGAGGCTGGTGACACCTCACCCAGGTGACGCTGCTGTGGCACAAAGATCTCTGAGTCATCCAGAGCCCATCACTTAGGAGAAGTCCAGTCCTGTCTGTCTATAGAAACACTCTCCTTATGGTTCTTCTGGGCAGTCAGTGATACCTGGGTAGTTTAGAGGAAGGGGATTATCTCCCAGCAAAGAAGAACTATATAATTAGGGGAATAATCAAGGGAGAAGTCAGGGCATGCAGAGATTAAAGGAGATTTTTGCAAGTAATCTCACTCTCAGACATGTTGTGGGGTTTGTACTGAGAATGGAAGGTTTGAACTTAGGGGTTTTTTTTTTCCCTAACAACCAATTGGATGTTTTACTTTCCTCCAACAACTCTCTGTGAATAACGACAGGAGATGTGTGAGTCAACCTGGTGTCCTTGGTGGTCACCTGTGGGAATGCACTTCATAGGTTTGGGAATCTGGGTGCTGTGGGGTGTGGGAATTTCTGTGGAGGGCTAGAAGGAGACAAAGCTGTGCAAGCCTTAATCTTTGTTCAGATTAGTGTTTCTGATGTCTAATACTAACAGGGCTGGATGGGAAGGCTGACTGACACGAGGCTCAACAAGAGCTTGCCAGTTTGCTGTAAAGCAGGATGTGTCACTGCTCCAGCTGCCTGACTCATCCCTCAGCCAACATCACCCTGCAGTTGACAGCTGAGGAGTGGCTTGTCATGTGAACAGGAATTTAAGGTATCCCTCTGAGAGAGGAGATTTAGAAGGACTCAGCCATGTCCTTGATTGGATGCAGCCCTGAAAGAAACCTTCCTCTTGTTTTCCTACTGGATTTTGGGAGGGCTCTGCTACTCTGCTTAAATTCTGAAGATACATGGTTATTCTTGTGTCTGCTCTGTCCATCGTGCCAGGTTGTCAGTGCCTGACAGAGCCTGAAGGGTGCAGGGAAAAGGCTGTTCAGGAGCCCCATGGAGCAATGTAGGTGTAGGGGAGATGTCCCAGTCCCTGATAGCAAGAGACTCTTGTTCTCCTCAGGATGGAGGTGTGAAGGGGTGTGGGAGAGAAGTGCATTTCTCATTGCTACAGAAGAGGTGCAGAGCTGGGATGGGGCTGTGCTGGGGCCTTTGCCAAGGCTGGATTCCCTCATCAGGACAGTGGAAAATACTTCCTGGCAAAAAGACTCATCAAAAGGAACAGCTTAGGGTTGTTTTAGTGGGAGTGCTGCCTGGACAGGGGCTCTGCTTGGCCTGGGGTGTCCCAGGCAGTGCCTTCAGCCCCAGCTGCTCCAGGGCTCCTGCACAGGCTCTTTGGAACAGAGCTCAGCTGGGATGTGGTGACTGCACACATCTCCACAAAACCTTCAGCTCTTGTTTTCTGCTCAGGAGTCCAAAGATAGAAAGTGCTGGAAGCTCTGACAGCAAAGCCAGTAAATCACTGGGGTTTTCAGAATACGTAAGCAGGAACTTCTCAGCTGCTCTGGGCAGACTCCCCAGCACCCAGCAAGTTTCTCCATCCTCACCACATCTGGGTCTGCAAGTAGGACAGTGGCAGAGTTGGTGATGTAGAGTCACTGCCCCGGGCTGTAGCCACCCCCTGGGGCTCCCCACAGCCCTCTCAGGATCTGTTCCCTGCTCCTTGTGTGCACTGCTGTGTCTGTGTGTGCCAGGGGTTGTGCCTGGATAACCATCAGCATCAGGCTGCCCACCCAGGGGCATCTCTGAGGGGATGAAGTGGATCTGCTCTCCCCTCCCTTCCTGCACAGGAGGGGCTACACACATGCTGCTTGTTTTTAGGGACAGTTTTGTTACATGCAAAACCACAGAAACAAAAATAAAGTATCTTCTGTATCTGAGGGGACTAGAGATTTCATCAGGCCCTGCTGTGCCAGACCAGCTGAACTGGTGTGCAGAACAATGAGCTGTGGGTGCATCCCACCCTGAGCCAAGAGAGTCTGGGGGCTGCTCTGGCCCTGGCAGTTCATCTGGGCCACCCCAGAGCTCTTTTAGGATTCCCGTGGCACTTTCATCTCAGGAATGACCATGGGATTTACCTTGAGTGCAGATGCTGAGAACAAGGAGGTGGGTGGCACTTTGTGATATGCTGGGCAGGGTTTTGTAGCTGAATGCTTCTCATCCTGATAGCAGCATGGGCAGTGCCAGGCCTGTCTGAGCTGGGTGACAGCCAAGTGGGCCAATCACTCCTTGCTGTTACCTCACACACAGGTGGACAGGACAGCGTTATCCATCTCTCCATGAATTGTATGGATTTGTGTTTAATAAGAGTTGAAAAGCCAGCTCTAGGCAGAGGATCCCAGCCTTGGAAAGGTGCCTTGTCCTCAGTGTGAGCCCCAGCTGTGGCTCTGCAGGTGTTTGTGCAGCCCTGCTGCTGGGAGGAGGGATGCTGCCAGCCCAGGGGATGCTGCCAGCCCAGCTGAGCCCTTATTTGGCCATGGCATGTTGGACTCCTTCAGCCCTGAGCTACCTTCCCTATTTATAGACCATTGCATGCAGAATTGGACAAACCGGCATCCAGTGTCAGCTGGGCTGTGGGATTGAGCTGTGGCACCAGAGGCTTCCCTGGGAGCTTTCCCCACACCCGAACAGGGTTGCTCCTGCCCCATCCCCTGGGAGCTGGTCCATGGGGATGGTCACTCTGTCCAGCTGGGCATTACAGGACTGTGCCTTGAGGTGGGAAGTCTCCCCAGTGGCTTCGTGTTCTCCTGTCCCAGAGTTTCCAGTGGCTCTGCAGCAGTGTGAGCTGGGCATTGTCTCTCACCATTCTCTCCCTGCCAGCTGAGGGCTGAGGTTGCTTCTCCAGCTTCCTCCGTGCTCTGGGCTAATTGTCTCGTTGGCAGAGCTGCTTCTCCCCAAGAAACTTTAATTGCTAGAGATGCCAAGTATGAGGCAGATGTACTCTGGAGCTCTCCGGGGAGGCACAGGTTCAATTCTCAGGATTTTCCAGTGTTTCACCAAATTTCAGGGCAGGAATGTTCCCCCAGGCTCCTCTCCCTTGGTGCTACCTTGCAGTGGCTCCATCCTTTCACTCCCATCTTCAACTGTGCCATGGCCCTGGGGAATGTGAGCAGCAGATCAGGCAGGTACTCAGGACACTTTGAGCTGATTTTTGTGCTGTGGAGGTGCTAATGACAGACCAGGAAGCCATACCATGAAGCCTGGTTAGGAGGCAGTGCCTTCCTGGGAAGTCCTCTGAGGTCCTGCAGGTTGGTTATTTTGTTTGGCAGGTGCTGTACTGGGTGGTGTGGGTGAGATGCAGCCTCCATGCCCCAAATTTGGCTCAGCATTAAAAGCAAGTTCTTCCTGAGGAGCTGTGGCCCTTGGCCAGGCCAGCACTGGTGTTAATCCATGCAATGCCTTTGCTCTCATCCTTCACCTTGACACAGCTTTTACCAGCTCTGTGCTCCACTTCAGGGGAATGAGGCAGCAAGAAGGACAGGATGAGAACATGAATCCTGCATCCCATCCCATCTCTGCCCATCAGGGATGTGGCATCTCCTGGAGCTGATCTCACTGCTTGCCCTCGAGGGTCAGCATTTGGCAGAGCAAATAGCTCTCCATGAACAGCACCTGGCATGCTCCTCCTTATGTCTGGGCCAGTGACTGCTTAGAGCTGGGCACATCAACAGCAGGGTTTGTAATTTTGAGCTGCTTGGCCCCTTGTTCTCCCTTTCTGGGAGCAGGGCAGTGTCAGCCCAGAGCGTGGAGCCAACAGGCAAGAAAAGCTGGCAAGGGCTGTCATGGGTCATCCTTGGTGGGAGTGATGTTCTGTCACTCTAAAACACGTCATGGTGTCTGGAAATGGCTGTGGACCCTTCTCACCCTCCCCTGACTGTGGGAAGCTTGACTGATCCTGAGATCCATGAGTACATAGGTGGCAAAGCTCAGGCCTTACGTGCATCTGTGACCTCCCACAGGTTGTTTTTGTCGCTCAAAACAGCAACTTCTCAGGGCTTTGGAGTCACTGCCAGGTCACAGTTGTCTAGACCAGCCTCACACAGAACTCCAGCCTCTGCCCATGCATCTGAGAGCTGTGCTCCATCTGCCCCATTTCCCCCACTCTGGGGTGCCCTGGACTCATCCTGGAGGATGCTGTTGTCCTTTTCAGTACCACTGGCTGCAAGGCAGCTTGCAGAGCACAGGGGAGCACCTACAGAGCCCAGCCCTGCTCTGCAGGTTTTGGTTTCATCGATCTTGGTGGAGTCACTTCATTAGCTGTTCCTGCCTGACTGCCCTGTTGGCACTGATGTCACTTGTCCTGTCTCAGGTGACCTGCTCACCCTCCCCATCCCACTGGGCAGCCCCAGTGCCCTGCCCAGCATCTCCATCTGTTTGGCTGTAATTCCATGTGTCCCACATGGCTGCTTGCCCAAGAAATACACTGCAGTTCATGCAGGGATCAGTGCCACCCATGGAGCGATCAGCATTTCTCTCTGCTGTTTGGGGTGGGGAAGGGAAGGACACACATGGTGTGGGTCAATTGTTTTTAGAGGAGCCATGGGGCTGGAGGTTCCCAGAGACATGGAGGGTTTGCCACAAGGAGAAGACAGAGCCTGACTTCTGTCACACAGCAGCACTTGGGCAGTGCAGCTGAGCCCAGCGTCCTCATGGCATTGAACTGCCTGGGGCAGGGTTTGTCAGGAACCTGCTTGTGGCTTCTTCCCCATCCCTCCTCCTTCACAGACACCATGGATGCTGGTGGCTGCTGGTCCCCTAGCACTGCTCCCTGCCCAGGTGTGTCCAGGAGGGACAGGTGGGCATTCCTGTGGGAGCTGAGCCAAGCTGGCAGCTTGCTGCCCTTCAAACGAGGAGTGTCAGAGCCAGGCTGTGAGAGGGCAGCCCCTCAAACTGCCCCTGTGCTCTTGGAGCTGCAAGCTTTGCTTTGTTCCCCTCCTGGGAACAATACCATGGAGTGAGCAGAGCCCTGTGGAAGGGCTGTGGGACCTGTGGTGGGGACAGGGGGCTCTTGGCTGACCTCTGTTGTGTGCTTGCAGCTGGCAGGACCACCACCAGTGAGGAGCTGGAGGACATGCTGGAGAGTGGCAACCCGGCCATCTTCTCCTCTGGGGTAAGCACTGACAGCAGCTGCAGCTGAGCCAGCCCCCTCAGCCAGGGGTGGGCTGGTGGATGTGCTGCCACAGTGGCCTCAGCACAGGAATCCTGATCACAGCCCATGCAGGGGGGGCCTGGGGGCTCAGCTCTGGACTGAGGGTGCTGTTGGAGCAGAGTCTGAATCCCAGCATCCTGCTGCAAACTACCAGGCTTGGGGTGGTTGGAGGGGCTCTGTAGCTCCTGCTCATCCCTCTCTTGGTACCCCCAGTCCCAGCATGGGAGCTGGCTCTGAGCATGGTGCTCAGTGGCCTTATTTTCTTTGCAGATCATCATGGATTCAAACATCACCAAGCAGGCACTGAATGAGATTGAGACACGGCACAGTGAGATCATAAAACTGGAGAACAGCATCCGAGAGCTGCACGACATGTTCATGGACATGGCCATGCTGGTGGAGAGCCAGGTGGGGAAAAGGTGCAGCCCAGGGGCTCACCTGAAGGGGTTGGAGGGCGATGGGGCTCCCTACGGTGGGTGGGAGGCTGGAGAACATTGCTCCCCTGCCTGGGTGGGTGCTGAGAGGAAAAACCACATCTAGGACCAGCATGGCTCCCAGTGGGGCTGAGCTGGGCTCCCTAGGGCTGGAGCCACCGTGGCACCCCAGAGTTGGGGTGCTGTTTGTGTGGGGTGGGAGGTTCATTGAGGGGCTCAGAAGGAGGGCAGTGGGTGGCTGCCATGCAGGAGGAGATTTCTTCATCTTCTCTGGAGCACCAGGCCCAGGTGGGTGAGCTCGAGGTGCCCCTTGGCTGTGGTGCCAGCCATGGCACCAGTCCCCTCAGCCAGGCACGTGCTCCTGTGTCTTTGCTCACCCCCCTTCTTGCCCGCCATGCTGCCATGGCCCGAGGAGACGTCGGTGGCAGGTAAAGGCCACTGGCCAAGCCCCGTGGTGCTGCATGCTCTGCTCTGCATGGCTGCTCCTGCATGGCTGCTGCTTGCATGCTGCTGGGATGGCCAGTGGCAGGACGGCAAGGGTCACCAGGGCACGGTGGTGTTGGTGGCCTGTCCTGTCTGCAGTGGGGGACATATGTGGGGAATTCATGATTCTGTGCCCTGCTCTAAGGGCTGGACAGTGCCAGCACCCTTGTCCTGTGGGTGAGAAGCTCGAAGCTGCTGGCACTGGGAACAGAGGGCTGGCAGCTCTGCTCTGCCCCAGGCATGGGACAGGTAGGAAGAAGAAGCAGCAGTTTTACACAAGACAGGGAGCAATTGGTGGGCTCAGTGCTCAGTACCCCTGGGCCCCTGTGCTGTCCAGCATTAGGTTGAGAAATGGGCATTGCAGAGTTGCTGGCTATGAGCCCATGGCTCTGTGGCCTCAATTCCCTCCATGCAATGCAGGAGGACATGAGGCTTCAAACCTCCCACTCCTGACAACCGTGTCCAGCTGCTGCAGGACTTGGCTGTTTCCCCGTCAGGATGGGGCCAAAGGAGGTGAACAAGGCTGGAGTAGCTCACCCCAACCCGTGTCCCCACACCCACAGGAGCCCCCACTCCCAGCCTTCCCCTGCAGCGGGGGCAGAGCAGGGCAGGGTCCCTGCAGGGCTCTGCAATCCTGGCTGGCCTTGCTCTGGACCCTCCCACCTTCAGTGCAGTGCTTGTGTGGAGCGGAGCAGGGGTCCCTGGTCCCTGCACGTGCATGGCTTCTTGAGCATCCCTCATGGTGCTACTGGTGCTGTCCTTGCTCCCTGCCATGCCTCCTGTTTCACATGTGGTGTGGTGCTTTTGTACATCCTATTATGGCTTTGATGTCACCTGAGATATTGGACAGGTCAGTGCCAGGACCAGGCTGGGAACTCCCTTGCCCCTCACCCTTGCTTGTCTCCCTGCTGGGATGTGCACAGAGATCCTCTGGGATGGGGCATGCAGTGCAGAACTCGCACCCCAGGGCACCCCAGGAAACACCCAGTGCCCGCAGGCAGCTGATGGAGCTTCTCTCCATGCAGGGCTGCTGGGCAGGGCAGCATCCACCCGGAGCCAGGGAGCAGCAGAGCAGGAAGGAGCTCAGGTCTGCATGCGCGTGGGCGCGTGGGCTGTGTCCTCCTCCTGCAGGGAGAAATGATTGACCGCATCGAGTACAACGTGGAGCACTCGGTGGATTACGTGGAGCGGGCTGTGTCCGACACCAAGAAAGCGGTGAAGTACCAGAGCAAAGCCAGACGGGTGAGTCACGGCTCTGCCTGGGGCCCATCTGCCCCTGCCTGCACTGCTGACACCTCCATCCCAGGTACGGGGCACCTTGCCTGCCCCAGGCAACCTGGCACAGCTTTGCTGATGCCCGAGGACCACGTTACCCCACAGCACTGGGAGCAGCCCAGGTCCTGAGGGTGGCACAGCTCTCAGCACAGACTGTGTGAAAGCTGACAATGAGCCATAGGGCAGGAGTGCTGCCTGGGGGGAGGAAAAGGGACAAGGTGGACCCCTGCACCAGGCATGCTGTGAGAGCCACATCCCATGCAAAAAAAAATAGGGAAAGGTCATGGTTCAGCTCAGACCCTAAGCACAGTGCCAGCTGTCTGTCCTGTTCCCAACACCTGGTCCTGTATCAGCATGGGGACCTGAAGGCCACCAGCTCGGCCCTGCCAACCCAGGGCAGAAGCAGGAGCAGGGGTGTCCCTCCCTTCCCAGGACTGCCAGAGCCCTTCTGGCTGCCAGGGTGCTGCTCAGAGCCCACCACAGGCAAAGGGGAACAGGACAGACTGCCGTTCTGAGCTCCTGGGTCCATCCTGCCCCAACACTCACCATCCCCTCTCCCCTCTCTCCTACCGCTGCTGGGACACCTGAGCAGAAGAAGATCATGATCATAATCTGCTGTGTGATCCTGGGCATCGTCATCGCCTCCACCTTCGGTGGCATTTTCGGCTAGACTCACCCCACAGGACTGTTTGTGTGCGATGGATGGAGCCGCGCGTGCCATGGGGCTGCAGCCACACCGGAGCAACCCACGCAGCCCCGGAGCCTCCCAGCAGCATTTCAGTTTCTAATGCATGGTTGTTTGTGACGCTGTGTGTGCGGTGCGGTGCGTCTGTGTGGAGGGAGCTCCAGCCCCGGGGCGCAGGGGGGGCAGGCGATGGTGATGGGTGCACGGGGGACCCTGGGGGGGAACCCAAGCTCTCATCACTGCTCCAGGCTGGGTGGCTGGCTGGGACCAGGTGGGGGACAGAAGTGCCCTTGGGCACTGCTGCTCATCCTGGGATGGACAGTCTATGTTAGTGACAGCTGAGGAGGGACTGATGATGGTTCTTAGGGGTCCTTGGGTGCCCAGTCAGCCTCCCCAGCTTGCCCATCACCTCAAACTCTCATGTCTGTCAGCCGCATCTGTGCTTGCAAACACCTTCCCTTGGGCTGCTTCTCTTCGGGGCCCTTCCCCAGGGGTGCGCTCTACCCAGCCCTGCCTGGCCAGTGACTGTGTCTGGCTCTGGGGCTCCATCCCTGCCACTCCTCCAGTGGCAGGGCTGTCCCCTCCCTACATGAGCCCCCACCCTAGTAGGGTGCCAAAGGCTGGAGGTGCCACTGCAGGTGGTGGTTGCCTGATGGAGCAGTGAGGAATAAGGAGTTGCTGCTTGGGGCCATCACAGTTGCCTGGGGACAGGAATAGGGCACGTCAGGGCCAGTGCTGTTCCTGGATGCTGGCCTGACAGGGCAGGATGGCACAGATAGTCTAAGGCCAGTGAATTTCACTGGCTGCTCATCCTGCACCACAGCCTCATCACAGGCTCTCAGCCCTGGTGGTCCTGGCTCCTCTTGCCCACAGGCCTGGACTCTGCCCGCGGGGGTTTGGGACTGTTGCTGATGTCCACAGCCCCTGGCAGCACTCACCTGCAAGCAGGGCTGCTCCAGCCTTGCTTTTTCATACCCAAGGCTGGGGGTTAGAAGCAGTTGGGCTTTCTCCTGTTGTGGTCCCAGGAGCAGCCCTTGCTGCATCCAGCCCCCTGCAAGTGAGGAGTAGCAGCCTTCCTCCTCCTGTATCCGATCGGGCTCTGAACAGGCCAGTTCCTCACTGCCTGTTTGCCACCTCCTGGCACCCTGCTGCTCCTGGCACCGAGCCCTTCTGCCCAGCCATCCAGTGAGGCACCTGCTCTCAGTGGGGTGCTGTGGGACAGCCTGGGTGCCCTCTGCAGTGCCCATGACACAGATGCAGCTGCTGTGGGGTCCAAGCCCAGCAGCAGCACAGGGGGGTCCAGTACTGCCATTGCCTGTTTCCCTCAGGCTAGGGACAGGGCTCTGCCCTCACCTTCCTCTGGAGCCCCCAGGGCTCTGGCTGGCCTGTGCACATGCCAAAGTACCACAGAGGAATCCCAAGGTAGGCTAGGCTCACTGCCACACTGGGAAAAGGGCTGGCTGTCTGGTGCTGGTAGCAGAAAAGGGACACTTGATGGCAGCCAGTATTCCAGCCTAGGACAGCGTCACCTCCCAGCTCTGACAGGATGCTGTGGCTCAGGTGTGTGGTGCCCCTGGGTACAGGGCAATGGCAGTGGCTGCAGCCATAGAGTGCTGCCTCCCCCAGGGCCAGCCCTGCCCAGCAGCAGCCCTGACACAGCTTCTTCTCTGCCACTGTTAGCCGAGGTCCCCCCTGCAGCCCCTTGTTGCATGCAGCTGCCCTTGGGAAGTGGGTCCAGCCCGGTTCCCCACAGTGCCCAGTCCAACCCCTCATCAGGGTGCAGCCATGGGAACATTCCAGACCAGAGCCCCCTTCTTTCACTGTTCCACACCTGGATGTGAGCTCCAGCACTGCAGCCTGCGTGCACTGAAGGGCTTGGGGCACCAGGACCATACAGGCAGGGGTAGGAGGCAGGCAAGGGCAGGGTTTCTGCTCCAGGGAGAAATGTCTGGCTGCAGGGAAAGGGAGTGGCCATACTCTGTCCATCAGCAGCTCCCTGCCACTGCCGTCCATGCTTACTCTGCCAGGGCAGCAAGAGCCCCAGGGCCCCTCCAGGAAGCAATAACACTGGGCAGGCAGGAAAACCCTCCTCCCAGGCTCCTGCCCTTCAGCCATGCTCCTGTCCTGCAGCCATGCCCACTGCTAGCACAAGGTGACTATTTTTTTTCTTCCAGGCAGCAGCTTTAGTGGCACAAGCTCACCTGACATCAGGGCTGTGGCACCCCTGTCAAGGCACAAGGCCAAGAACTGCACCGGGGGGGATTCTTGGCCCTTGCTCCTTGTTGGCACCACCACTGCCAGCAGCCCTCACAGCAGGAGTTGGATGGGGCCAGTCAGGGCCACTGGCACTTTGCTGGGATCCCGTGGGCAGCAGCAGTGCCGGGCTCCAAAGCAAGGGAGATGAGGAGCAGACTGCCACTGCTGCCCCACAGGCAGGCTCACACTGTCCTCGCTGTGAGGGGAGGGTGTTTTGGTGCAATAATTACCCCTGCACTACGGGAAGCCCCATTGAGTTCCTTTTTACCTACCTGTTGTTGCATGTACAGACCAAATCACCAAGTGTGGTTGTGCTTTGGGAAGATGTTTCACCTTTTCTTTCCAGCCCCCAACCTGCACCCGCTTGTCCTTTGGGTTCCACCACCTCCGTTCCAAGTGCCACCCGCCCTCCCCATGCCGGGAGCGTGTTGATGCAGTATTCCATGAGCAGTGTGGGGCACGCACAGCTTGCACTCGAACTGGGGATTGTTTGGGTTTTTGTTTTGTTTAGTTTTTTTTTTTTTTTTTGTAATTAATGTACTTGAAGGCTTTCCGAGCCCCCCGTGGAGTTCTACTGTTGCTGTACTGTGAGCTAAGTGTCCTTGTTTTCTATGTGGATCTTGACCCTGGCTTGCTCTGTCTCACTGGGCTGGATGACACTGTATGTTGCCTCTCTTCTCCTTCCCTCTTTCCCTTCCTGCTAGCATTCCTTTCTTCTCCCAAGGCTTTGGGTGCAAAACAGCTTCCCATTTTGTGGAATTTTTATGTAGAATAAACATTTGTAACTGTAAAGCTCTGGGTGGCACCTCTCCTTGTTTGAAGGGAAGAGGTGACAGGGGATTCCAGTCAGCTCCAGCATCCTGGAAGCACTAAAGCAAACAGGGTGGGCTTGGTGCCAAGCACTGACAGGAGTAAATGGCTACTGGAATAACACTTGTGCCAGGAGCAACTTTGTCCTCATGGATCTACACCTTGACAGTGTGGATCCCCTGCAGGCAGAGGGGCAGCTGGCAGGGAATGAAGTACCATATTCCCACCTCAGTACTCCCAGCACCAAGGGCAGGACGCAGGAGACAAGCAAACATTTCCAACTCTTTGACTCTTTAGTGAGGAACTGGATATCACATCCTGGCTTACCTGGAGCTCAGCTGGCTCGCTGCACTCAGGAAGGTAAGTGATGGCACTGCAGACACCCGAGTGGCCAGAGCACTGTCTGCACCTTCACCAGGGTAACAGGGCTGGAAGCTTTGCTGTTTGGCAGCACCTGAGCCAGTTTGTAGCTTTAAGAGCCACAATGACCAGTCCCAGCAAGTCCCCAGGCGTGGGGTACCATCTGTGCCATCCACAGGAGGCTCACTGGAGGCACCCACATGCCACCTTCCATGCCAGCAGTGTCCAGAGCAGTTCAGAAGTGAGGACGGCGCTTCCGACCTGTGTATTTCGTGTCTGCTCGCACCTCCCTGTGGGAAAAGCAGGGAACAGCTCAGCACCACCTGCAGGTCACTTCGGGAGGGGAGGGGAAGGGAGCAGGTTTGTGACAGGAGTTTGGACAGGTGACAGCAGGCCAGTCCAGCCTCGGAGGCAGGAGTCAGCTGAACTCACTTGCCCTGGCGTCGTCTGCGCTCCTTCTTCTCCAGGATCCAGTCCCGGCTTTTCTTCACAGACTTGCCCTTGACATTTCTGAACCGTGTCCTGTGGGGAGAGTGCACAGCAGCTGGAGAGGAACTGAGGTGTGGGGGCACATTTCTGTACCCCTAAGGATTGTCACCCAGAACTGGGTCACAAGAGTAGTGAGTTTCCCTCCCACCTCCCCTGGGCAAGAGGCTCAGCCAGCACTAGGGCAGGTGGCCAAACTCCAGACACACTGGAGGAGGAGATTGATTCCAGCCCTGGCTTGGAGCTGAGGGATCCTGACCTACGAACTCCAGCAGTCCAGCACACCCCCAGGCCATACCAGCAGCATGCTGCACTCTGGGATCTCAGGGGATTACAGGTTTGTGAACGACCACCTTGTCTGCTCTACTCCAAGCAAGGCAGACAAAGTCAGGCTTCCTACAAAGTTCCCAGCTCTGCTACTGCCCTCCAAAACCAGATACCCCTTAGACTAAGTAAGTAGAGAACAGCAATGTAAGAGGCAGGAAAACATGGCAGCCACAAGCTCCTGGCAGCCATGACAACTTTCCTCTGGTTTTTGTTTTGTCTCTCCCACTGGCTGCAAGAGGGGCTCCTCCCTGCACCACTGCTGTGGGAAGAGACCTGGCCAGCATCAGAAACCCCCAGGCCACAGCTAAGCAGAGCTGAGCAAAGACCTGGACAGGAGGAAGAAGGGAATGCCAGGACTCGGGCACAGCAGCGTGCCTACATGGCTCCATCATGAGCCCTGTAAACATTCCCTCTCCCACACCACTGGCATCAGCTGGAGAACCCAGTGCTGGACAGAAAGTGCTGACTGACCGCTGAGCTACAGCTCTAGTGTGAGCACCTACAGCCCCATGGAAGAGCCCTGGCAACTAACTGGTTTTGTTGCCTGTGTCCAGGCCCTTGGGAAGATAAAGCAGTTCTCTCCTGGGCTGCTATGAGTCCTCCCTGTCCTTCCCCTCCCATTGCTTCTCACACAGCAGCAATGTGGTCCCCAGTAAAAGTCAGCCCTCAAAGCCCCCCACTCCTTGCTGGGGAGAACCTGCAGCCTCACCCCCACACCATACCTCTCATTGGTGAACTTTGCCTGGTGTGGCTCTTCATTGGCACACTCGGTACCAAGGCCCTGGAAAGCAAAATTGGGAGGTTGTGTTCTCCTCTGGACCAGGCACAGCTATTCATCAGCCCATCAAAACTAAGGGGAATGCAGGGATCTGCAAGGGGAAGGACCAGAGCAGGAACGAACTGGTCTTCCAGAAATCATGGCAAAAAAAAACAGATGTCAGAAAAACGGCTTTAAAGAGGGCAGGATTAGATTGGATATTGGAAGAAATTTTCCCTCTGAGGGTGGTGGGGCCCTGGCACAGGTTGCCCAGAGAAGCTGTGGATGCCCCATCCCTGCAAGTTTTCAAGGCTAGGCTGGACAGGGCTTGGAGCAACCTGGGATAGTGGGAGGTGTCCCTGCCCATGACAGGGGGTTGGAACAAGATGAGCTTTAAGGTCTCTTCCAACCCAAACCAGTCTGTGACTATATATGAGAGCAGGGCTTGGTGACTGGCAGAAAATGTAAAAACAAAGTCACATCTGCACTCACAGAGCTGTTTGGCTCCCACACTGCCCACAGCTCTTCCACATCATCCAGCAGCCAGGACAGCAGCTCTACTGCCTCATGGAGGCCCTCACCTTTGGTAATGTGCCAGATGTCCCAACAAAGAGACAAAGGAAGAACCTGAAAGAGCAAGAATGAGAAGCATGAAAGCAGAATTCAGCATGTGAGTCTCAGTTCCCAGGCAAGACTGAGATGGTTTATAACAGAGTCAGACCTAAGCTTTAACCTCTGTAGTGTATAATGGAAGAGGGAACAGCTCGGGGTGGGGCGGGGGGGAAATGTCTGCTAAACCCAGGCCTCACCCCTAACACACACACAGATCCAGGACTCACTTCTTGGCTTTGGCGCTGTTGGGGTAATCAACCACCATTCCCCCTGTAAATCCAGCTCTCATGGCTTGGGCTGTGATGAGCTCCAGCTGGAAAAAGCAGCAGGTCCAAAGTTAATTAGCAGTCATCCCCCAGGACAGCCCAAGAGACCTCAGGGAGGAGCACACTTGACTGGGCATTCCCAAGACAGACTGTCCTCCTCCTGCTAAGCTCTGCACCTATCTCCTGGTTCTACAGCACCGTCCAGACACCAATTCCCTGCCTTTGCTGGTTCTCCCTGCTCCTCAGTCTAGCCTGGGTTAGCTGGCACAGCAGACTCTCTAGGAGAGGGATACTGGGCTGGATTTTCCAGACTCAGTTAAAGTGCAGTGCTGATGACTACAGCCAGTCTTTAAACTCAGATTCACATTATCTCCCACCACTTTAAGGCTCAGCCCAAGACAATCTATGAAACAACAGAAATTTCACAAGGTATCCTCCTTACAGGTTATTTTTTTGGGCTCTTGAAGAGCTTTAGAAGTGGCAAGCAGGACAGAGACACAGGCTTGATGTGGAAGAGTACAATGCATTCAGAGCCCCAAACAGTGTATGACTTGTCTGCCTGTACCCCTTCCTGACTGACTGATGGGCTGTACCTGCTCGGAGTTCTCGGGGTACAACTGCAGCACAGCTCGGGATCCTCGGGCCTGCAGGAAATAAAGCTGATCACACACTTGTTCCAGTGCAGGTGACTCTCTGGGTGACCCCATCCCAGCCCCAAACATGAGCTCCCTCCTCCCCAAAACCTCTGGGATAAAGCTCCCAGGAGAGCTGCTCAGCCTACAGAGCCAGCGAGGCAGAGGGAACACCAGGTATCACAGAATCATGGAACTGTTAAGTTTGGAAAAAAAAAACACCAAGACCATCAAGTCCAACCTTGATGAGAAGCAGCACCAGGCAAGAAGGTAGGCAGTGGGTGCTCCTGCCAGTCCTGCTTCAGAGTAGCATTTATTTGAAACAGCCTTCAAGTATCTTGCTAAAAAGCACCACAAAGACATAGGAGCAGCAGAGACCTGGCTGGTAGAGAGTGGCACTTACCAGGGCAGTGTAAAGAGTGGAGAAGAATCTGTAGAGGCGTTTTGGGGGGCTGTGTGATTTCTTGTCAGCATTACAGAGCCACTGCACTGCAGAAATACTGAGAAGGAAAAGCAGACCCCCAGGACACTGAGTCATTGGTTCCTTCACAGAGCTTGCCACCCCCCTTTGAGCTGAATTCCTGCACTAGGAATGCGCTGGGCCTCAGGGAAATTATTTAATTTCCTCTATGTTGTTTTGCCTTCTGTTTTGCAGTTACACAAACCCCTCTGGAGACTCACTATGCCAAAACTGAATAGGGCAAAAGCATCACCAAGCATCCCCTTTAGTCTGAGTGCTCAAATCATAGAACGACAGAATGGTTTGGGTTGGAGAGACCTTAAAGCTCAGCTTGTTCCGGCCCCTGCTGTAGGCAGGGACACCTCCCACTATCCCAGGTTGCTCCAAGCCCTGTCCAACCTGGCCTTGGACACTTCCAGGGATGGGGCATCCACAGCTTCCCTGGGCAACCTGTGCCAGGGCCTCACCACCCTCACAGTGGAGAATTTATTCTGTGAATTTCACCTAAATTTTTCCCCTTTCAGCTTGAACCCGTTATCCTACTCCAATCATTACAGTTCCTGACGAGCATTTGAGAGCTGTGTCCCTTGCCTGGCCAAGCAGGTTTTCCCAATAAGCAATCTAAAACAGCTTTTGGCTTAGCAATGCACAGTCCCTGCTTCATCCCAGCTGTTCTCTAAGCAGGTAAGTCCTGACCCCCTCATCCCAAAACCAATCATCAAATCCTTGATTCAGGGACTGACTTTTCTAAGCAATACTACATACTTTGTTCTCCTCCTTGGTGCAGGTCTCAGCCATCCTAGCAATATCCCCAGTTTTACTTTATTTTTTTCAACAGAATTCCTAGCTCACCAGCACAAAAGGACAAGCATCTCTTGGGAAACAGCTGTCACGAGCTGTTTCTGCCATCCAGAATTCTGGAGGTTTGTCCTGGAGTGACGGAGCCAAGTTGCACAGAGCAAAGAGAGTGGCTGACAAGACCAGTCCCTCTCACCTGGGATTTACCAGATAAGCACCATGTGTACTGTGCAGTTCTGTGGGGCATCAGGAGAGCTCAGCTACATGCACAGACTCACCTGATACAGCCATCAAACATGCCAGGCCTGAAGGGAATGCCATGACCCACATCTGCAAGGAGAAGGTCTCCTTCCACCTCCCTCTCCACGGCCACATCTGCACAGAACAGAGCACAGCTCAGGCAATCAGCTCCCACCTTTGGGGCCTCTGAGGGTCTCAGGGGAGGTTGTGCTCACCCAGCATGGCAGGGCTGATGTCCATGCCAATCCAGTAGTGACCCTCCTCAGAGATGTAATCCCCACTCAGCCCAGAGCCGCAGCTAGAGGGAGGAAGGGGGAAAGTGCTGGGATCATGGGGCTGGTCGGAGGCTGCTGCTGGCCAGATACAACCAACAGCCTGTCCTCCTTCAGCCCACAAAAGGCACTGGTGCTGTGGGACTTGACTACCCCCTCACCCTGTGCACCCCTCCAGCCCCAGAAGCTCCATGTGCCATGGAACTGGGCACTCACCCCACGTCCAGGAGGAGGCACGGACGGTCCTCGGGCAGCCCCAGCAGCTCCACAGCACGCTCCGACATCTGTGACTGGATCTCCACCACCCGGGAGCTGAGGCACAGGCAGAGCGTGGGCGATGGGCCGCAACCCCACGGCGACATCCCCCGAACTCCTAGATTTGAACCCGCACCACCACACAGCATGACCTGAGCATCCCTTCGCCTCAGCTCTGACCCTCTCCCTCCACTCCTCGCCGCTGCCACATGCCGGGGCCGGGCCCCAGGCCCTCACGACAGGGCCCTCACCACTCCCGGCAGGATCCACGACCAACCCCCCATCCCCGGTGGGTCCCCGCGATGTCCGCCCCATGACGAGACCCCTCCCCGCCGCACGACAGGCCCCGCAGTCCCGCAGCGCTGGTCCCGCCGTACTTCTGGGTATACTTCCGTGCCTCGGCCTCATCGTAGAACTGTAACGAGAGAGCGGCGGGGCGGCGGTGAGGCCCGGCACCCCCAGGAGGGGCGGCCCCAGAGCAGCCGGGCTCCCCCGCATCCCCCGCTCACCAGCTCGGGCGGCCCGCGGTGCTCGGGCCGGCGGCCGCTGCCCGCCATGCCGCGGCTGCGTGACGTCACTGCGCCGCGCGGCTCCTGACGTCACTGCCCTGCGACCGCGCCTCCGTCCCTGCGTGTGCGATGTCGCCGCTCCCCGCCCGGCCCCTCCTCCTGCATGGCGTCACTGCCCCGCGCCGGGCCTGTCCAGCATGGCGCCGGCGGGCGGGCGCTGATGGCGCCGGCGGTGCTCGCGCGGCTGCGGCGGCTCCTCCCCGCGGCCCCGCGGCCCGGCTGCGCCCCGCCGCCATCCCGGGCCGCTCAGACGGGCGGTGCTGGAGCCCCGCGGCCGCGCCGCGACCTCTACGAGGTGCTGGGCGTCCAGTCCACGGCGACGGCGGCGCAGATCAAGACGGCGTACTACGAGCAGTCGTTCCGGTACCACCCCGACCGCAATGCCGGCAGCGCGGCCGCGGCCGCGCGCTTCGCCGCCGTCAGCGAGGCTTACCGGGTGCTCGGCAGTGCCGCGCTGCGCCGCAAGTACGACCGCGGGCTCCTGAGCGCCGAGGAGCTGCGCGACGCGCCCCGGCCCTCGGGCCGCCCTCCTGCCGGTGCCTCGCCGCCGCCCCGCGCCCCCACTGCCCGCCCGGGGCCCGTCCCGCCACCCTTCGACTTCGACGCCTTCTACCGCGCCCACTACGGGGAGCAGCTCCAGCGGGAGCAGCTGCTGCGGGCGCGGCGGGAGCAGCTGCGCCTGAGGCGGGAGGAGGCCGCGGCACAGGGACGCCTTAGGGTCCTCTCCGATCTCTCGATCGGGCTCCTCTTCTTCCTGGGTGTTGCCCTCATCTACGGCCTCAAGTGACAGCGAGACCGCGGCGGGGCTGGGCAGCTCCACAGTGTCACCAGGGGGCTTGGCAGCGGGCTGGGGACGAGCCCTGCACCTGCCCTTGGCCGACAGCCTGGGTCTGCTATTCATGCTGTGGCGTTTCGCTCTGCCAGTGTGACCTTCAGGGACGGTGTATGGCCAGCAGGCTTCATAGGCTGTGACCTGGCCCCTCTGCCAGCATGACCTTCAGACACTCAGTGCCCCTGGCTGGCACAGGATGTGACCTCTGGATACCCTCTGTGTGCTCCCATCCACAGACTGGGCTAGGCTGTGCTGTCCACACAGCATGACCTTGCAGAGGTGGTGAAGGAACTCTGCAGGCTCCTGATGTGTCCCCTCAACCAACACTACTTGCAGACACAGTGCCTGACAAGCATCCTGGACTCTGGACTGGGAGGCGTCCCCTCCTTTGGCACAGCTCTGTGACCTTGGTGTGCCCCAGGTGCCTGTTGTGAGCTGCAGCAGAGATTAAAGGCTGTCAGAGGTGGTGTCTGCTGTGTGTGTTCAGGGCTGTGCTCACTCATGCTCAATGTGGCTCTGGTTTCTGCTGATCCCAGACCTGCCACCTCTGTGCTATCATACCTGCTGGTTCTACATCTCTGGGGAGCTTTTGACATCCAAACTGCATCAGCCAGCTCAGAATAGCAGGTATAGAAGTTAGATTCAGCAGACTTGAAAAATGAAACTCAAGCTCATGCCCTGGTCAGTGTGTGACATTGCCTGGAGGTGCAGCCAAAACACTTTAGTGTCTGAAGTCCTGTCCTGTCTTGGGCCTGCCAGGAACTTTACACCAGCCCCTCCCTCTGAGGCTTTTGGCCGTGGTGCACCTGTGAGCACCTAGAGCTCTTTTCTGTGTTTGACCTGTATCTGAGCATCATTTGCACAAGTGTATTTGCCTATTTAAATACTGAAGTATTGTTAAGACCTAAAGATTGTGTTTCTCAGGAGCTTTTCTCTCTCCTTGGGTGAAAGTTCTCCTGTGCTATGCTGCTGCTACCTGGAGGGAGAGAAGCTTCATGGCAGTGGCCTGAGCATGCCAAAGACTGTGTGTGTCACTGGGTTTGCTGTCAGTGGGGTGAGCAGGAGCCAACCCTTGTTACCTCAGAGCCCAGACCCTGGGTCTGGGTTTTGTCCCAGTACAAGAATGTTAAAAGTGAATGCCCTGTGTTTTCCACTGTGGATTTCTGTGATCCTGTTCAGAGCCTGAGGCAGTGGCACAGCAGGGACCTGGTTGTGCAGGATTGCTCTCTGCCTGCTCTCAAAAACCTTGTGCCACTTCCAGCTGCACTCTAGAGGCTGCTGCATGCTTGGAGTAAACCCAGCCCAGGGGCAGAGTTCCAAGATCCTCACTGGCTGCCAGTCTATCCTTTACCTGGGATCACAGTGCTGGAATGTCATCATGGGAGACACAGGAGCCCAGCGTTCACTGGCTACAGAGGGAAAGTCTCTGGAGAGACTTGTGGCTCTGGCACTTGCTGTTGCATTTTATGCCCATCTTCATTCTGTAAAACAAATCACTCAAAAGATCAGGAGTAGCTTTTTTGGCAGAATTTGGCAGGAAACATTACTTTCCAGGCTGGAAAAGCTAGTGATGTCCATGGGAAGCAGTGGGCACTAGGGAGCACTTCTCTAGCTCCTACCCAAACAGGTGTTTTGGGCACTTCCTGCTGCTGGTTCTTACTCTTCCTCATCAGGTCTCTGTGATGTATCTTGAAGATTAAAGACATCCAGCCATAAATTGCTGACAAAATAACAAATCTTTCATTTGGTGGGCCTGGCTGGTAAATATTCCTTGCACTTGCTGGAAAGTAGGGGTGAGGGACAGGCAGGTGTTTCACATCCTGACTTCAGCCAGTGAAGAAGAGGGCAGGGAGGGGAGTTCTGTTTCTGTTGCTGGGAAGGGTGGGAATGCAACATGCAGTCAGAAAAGGGCAGAGTGGCCTCTCTGGACCACCATGGCCTTCCCTGCTCCTGGAGGTCGTGTTGTGTGCTGCCTGACACCCGGGTGTGGCTGTGCACTGGTGACATCCCCTGTGCTCTGCACTCACCTGCTGCCTGGACAGAGGAGGGTGCCCTAAAACTCTCCAGTGTCACCTTTACCCTAGTCAGGCCTGACTGCTCCTCTGCTCTGGGAAGGATTTCAGGAGCTTGGACATAAAGTAGCTGGAGCTGGTCCAAATGCACAGACTGCCTACCAGCTCCCAGCATACCCCTGTTCTGCCCCTTTTTCTCCTTGTGTCAACAGTGTCGTTGTATTGTTGTTTCCCTGATGGAGAGGTGCTAGGAGCAATGGGTTTCATGCTGCTTTCCTTTAGCCAGGTGAGCACAGCCTGTGTAGATACCAGGGGCTGATGGGGACAGGAGTGTGAGGTGGCAGGGGCTGTGAGCTGTACAGGATTGGAAGATCAGCAGAGGATAAAGCTCAGTAATTCCCTGTGGCCTTTACTGTGATACATCCTTAGGGATACTGACACACAGAGGGTTCTTCCAGGGCTCATAGCAGGGGACAGCTTATACTCCCAGGTCCTTTTCCTTGCTTGAGGATGTATCCAGTCCCTACAACACAGCTCAGGAACAGACTGCAGTAGCAGCTGTCCACAGCCCCTCCTGGGCTGTGCCCACAGGGGGGGAGGTGAGGTGGCAGTTTCGGCTGGGGACATCACCATGAGCATCCTGAGGCCTTTGCTGGGAGGAGTGTGATGTTCACTGCAGGGATTCCTTCCTCCTCAGTTCCAGCCCACGGGGGCCATTTTTACACATATTCTATCACATCCTGCCCCTCACTTCCTCGCTCTGTGGCTCCATGTTTCACTTGCCTGCAAGTGATGTATCCATGTTGGATGCTTGTCCTTTGTTCTCTTATCCCTGGCACCGGGTTTTGCCTGCTGTGTGTCACCAAAAGGAATAATCCGAGGGTGAGTTACTGGTGGGGCCTGAGCCGTCATCCCGTGCTGACCCATCCAGGCCTGGACTGCTCTACCCTGCTCCTTCACCCCAGGGGTTATTCTGGATTCTTTGGTGTTGCTCATTCCCTTGAATCACCGACAACAGACATCAAAGGGAAGCACCAAAATCGGAGTAGTTAACAGCCACTTGGTAATTTGATGCCGTGACAAGCTAAAGAAATCTAAGGCACCAAGGAACCTTAAGCTGGGTGAAGCCTGATGGCCCCAGTGCTGAGGCTTTCCAAGCTCAGTGCGGACCCCATTCCACACTCCTACCCCAACCCCTTTTCTTGGGCTGACATCCCCATAAGTGCAGGTTTGGGGTGCTGAGCTGCTCCCCTCAGCTGGTGAGTGCTGCAGGTGTGGGGTCTCAGTGCCTCAGCAGGGCCTCCTCCTGGAGTAGCTGGTCTGCTCTTTGGAAGGGAAGGGGTCAAACCTGGCTGCTGGCAGATCTTCCATTGTGCAGGAGCAGGGGAGCAGAGTCCTGAGCAGCAATAAGGAGTTGCCATCAGCCTCTGCCCCCCAAAAGGAGCTGGTCTGGCAGGGATGGGAATGAGGGGACAGCCCCTGGTACAGCCCCAGCCCTCACCTGTGTGGGCAGAACTCTGCACCCCAGTCCTGCTGCTGGTGGCTCTGCCCTCCCAGGGAAGGGCTGCTACGGTTGGCAGCACCGAGGATGGGGGACAGCTCCTCCCCGCTTCAGCAGCATCCCCTGCGGCCACTCCTTGGTTAATAGAGTTAATTGTTAATAGACCTCCCTCAACAGCCCTGGTGCCTGCTCCAGGGGCCCCAGCTGGGGCACACTGGCACTCCCTTCCTGGCTGGTCCTAGTCCAGCTTTGTACCCCTTTTGCACCTTAGTGCCTGAGGGTTGTGGCTTGGGATTTCCTGGGGGAGTGGGGGGCACCCCTTCTCTCTCAGCTGTTCTGACTTCTGGGCTGGAGGCTGCTGCTTATCCAGCCTGGCTTGCACAGAGCCGGGGATGGGGGGGCACCCCCAGTTCCCTGCCCAGGTTTGGCTGCACATCAGCTGCCAGAGGGGCTGGGCTGGGCCCCGGCTGCTGCCTGGCCCAGCAGAAATGAATGCAGGTGCACACGCAGTGGCAACCTTTCCTCCTCCTCCTCAGGGTGAGCAGGAGCACCTTTACCCTCCTTGACTTCATTCTACAGGGCAGGGACCGGCAGGGAGGCCACTGTGCAGGCAGGAGGGGCAGAGGGGATCACCCTGTCTACTGTCAGAGTCTGCCTGTGAGCCAATGTCCCTGCCTGCCCTGTGCAGAACCTTGCCCCCAGTCCCAGCTGGCTATGAAGGGCCTGGAGCTATCAGTGGCGGTGGGCAGGCAGATACCCCTCAGTCCCTAGGGATACAGGGTGCACCAGGGTGCACAGACAACCCCTGCCAGGATCACCACAACTGGAGTGTCCAGCCCCCCACCTGGGGCCAGCTATTGTGTGCTCCAAACTGGGCAGCACCAGCTGCAGGATGGGAGGAACCCCCCCAGGGCAGGGGCTCACCTGGCTTGGCTTGATCCCAAAGGATCCCAAGGTTCCACACCCTAAAGTTGGGTGGTGCCCTGCCCAGCAGGACCATGGGGTTGCCAGGGCTTGCCCAGTGCTTCCTGAACTGGCCAGGTGCCTGGGGTGCTGCAGGGCTCCTATGGACTGACAGACAGACAGACAGACAGACCATGGCAGCACAGCTTACCTTGGTGCTTAGACTGTCACTCGTAGTGCTGCAGCTCTCACAGGACACACTCAGCTCCCCCAGGCTGCAGAGGCAGCTGCTCACCCTGAGACTCCACACTCGTGGGGTCACGGAGGTTTGTCCTGGAGCTGCTGGCACACCCACACAGACTGGGGCTGCCCAGCCTCGGGAGCCATGCAAAGCAGGCACTGCCTGGGTTTTTGGGTAGTTTTTGGGTGGCTTGGCTCCTCGTGCACCATCTGATGCCTCAGTGCTGTGCCTGGTGCCCTGTGGCAGGGCAGTGACAGCCCACCAGCACTGCCTCTGGCTGGGGCTCAGCCCAGGCAGGAGCCTGGCTCTGGGCTCTGGCACACACGATGGGCACAGAGCCTGACTGACAAACAGCCTTTCCTTGACAGGCTGAGCCCAAAGTGGGACTTAGGCAAGCAGCAGGTGAAACTCCAGATATTCCAGTGACTACCACCTCCTCACATGCCAATAAAGCCACAGTGGCTGGTCCCCTGTTTATTCTGGTTTTAAACCTGCTTAACTGGTAATATTGGAATATTAGCCATAAATGAGGGCTGAAGTTTGGCATAAGGCCAGGTAGCCTCAGTGGGGAAGGGTGATCAGACACTGCAAGCTAATGACCTGTATATTGGGGTGTTTTGTAGCCCGAGCCTTTGGCTGCTTGGGATGATTTCCAAGCAGTCTACATACCAGTGGCAAGATGCAGGTTGGGCAGGCAGTTGGGAAAGAGGGAATTATATAGCCAGACAGGGTCTGAGAGCACAAGAAGAGTGAAACCAACACAAAAGCTAAAAACAGTACAATGGACATGCCACAGCAGGGAACAAGCACCCCAGGATGCCCAGGAGGCTGCAGCTGGAGGAACCAGGCTGTCCCCTGGGGGATGGAGAACACCACCCCTTGGACTCACCATCCATTGTGTGATACTAAGGGAAGGAACAGAAGAGCCTGGGATGCAACAGGGTGAGAGTTCAGGCCTCCTGTCACTTTTTCCAGTGAGGGCTGGTAGAATGGGGGAGGTGGATAAGGAATGACAAAGGGTACAATGGCCTCTGACACAAGAACAGGCTGATGTGACCAGTGGCTGTCAAGCTGTGAACAAGCCCAGCTGGCCACAGGGTATAACCCTCCATGGGGTGAGGGCTTTGCTGCTGGCAGGAGGCATCTCTGGGCACCAAAAGCCTTCCCCATGTGCCAAACTGGTCCCTGGCACCTCTCTTGAGGAAAACAGGCTGTGCACCCCTTGCAGGAACTCTCAGCTTCCCCTGGGAAGGGATGTCCTGAGCCAAGTGCAAATTAAAGGTCTAGGGGCAGGGGCTCCTCAGGCTGGAGGGCTCTCCTTGGCAGCCAGTCACTTCCAAGCATGGCAAGTGCTCCCTGTTAACCCTTTCCTCCCTGCCTGTCCCATTCTGCTGTTCATAGCCAGAGTCAAAGGGAAAGAGCACACGTGGAGCATGGAAAGAGGCTTTATTTAGGTAGCATGTGGCACACCCAGTGCTCCTGTGCCCTTTCCCTGCTATCCCTCCCAGCTAAGCCCACTGACATCCCTACAAGTCACCCACCCCCACTTCCTGTCACCATTCCTTTTGCTGTGGATGCAGAGACCCAAAAGCAGGACCCCCTACCCGGCCATGGCACCTGCCCCAACCAAGCACCTCCCTCCCTCTGCGAGCACCCACCCCACAGACCCTGCAGCCCTTTGGAGCTGTGCCTACACCACCCCCCACCCCTCACGTTCCCTGCCCACGGTGTTGCTGCACAGCCCCCGTGGAGGCACAGGAGCAGGGACATCCCCATCCCTGCCCTGCTACCGGTGTGGAGGCTCCTGCTGCTGGTGCTGTGGCTGCTGCTGCCCACGGCCGGGCTGGGGACTGAGCAGGGGGATGTGTCCAACGAGGCGCAGGGGAGAGCCCGGGCTGGGAATTTCGGAGCAGGGAGATGCTGGCTGCTGTCCCAGGGCTGGGAGATGGTGCTTGGGAGGTGCAGCCGGCACGGGAAAGGGCACGACAGCCTCCGAGGGGATGAGGAAGGCAGGCACAAAGCCGTAGGAGAGATCAAAGGCTTTGGGGGCTACTCCACTCTGCAATGGGGCAAGGCGGGCTGGTGCCATGCTAGCTGGGGCACCTGGGCACCCCGCAGGGCCCGCAGGGTCCCTGCCCACCTGGTCCTTCTGCGCCCGGTCCTTCTGCAGCAGCTCCTGCAGTTTCTCCAGCTGTGTCCGGCAGATGTGGGAGCGTGTGCGGCTCTGGCAGAAGGACTCCAGGAAGGACTCGAGGGGCAGGTCCTGGGTCAGGAACTGCTTTATCTGTGCCTGTGGGATGGGCAGTGGGACTAGAAGGAGCACCCCCTGGGCCCTGGACTCTTCTGCAGGCCCTGGTATATGGGAGGGCATGGAGAGCACTCCGTGGCCCTGGTAAGGAAGGGACAACAGCTCAGGGGTCTCAGCTAACTCACCTCTGACTCTGCTTCAGAGGCATCAAGCTTGGCTTGGAGCTGGCCCAGGGCACTCTGTGGGCTCCACTTCTCCAGGTAAGCCTCTGTGTGTCAGAAGGAGATGGGGCTGCCAACCTTCCCCTGGATACCCCCACTGCTGGGGTTGCTGTCTTTCCCATCCCCAAGCACCAGGTCCCCCCCTCCTTGCACTGAAACACCCCCAAACACATCCCTGGAGCCACCTGCACGCCATGGCTTCCATCCCACCCTGGCACAGATTTCCCAGTGAAGATGTGGATGCCTCATCCTTGTAATTGTTCAGGGCCAGGTAGGACTGGGCTTGGATCAACCTGGTCTAGGAGAAGGTGTCCCTGCCCACAGCAGAGGGTGGAATGAGATGATCTTTAAGGTGCCTTCCAGCACAAATGATTCTGTGATTCTATGACTGCTCCCAGCTAAGGATTTGCTGTGTCACAGGGAGCATCATCTCCCACCACCCCTGATCACGGCTGAACCATTTCCCTGGGGTAGGTCCAAGAATGCTGAGCCCACCCAGACCCTCATATTAACAGGGGCTGCTCTGGATGTGCCAGGCTGTGCCTCAGCCCACAGGCTGCACCCCACTCACCCAGGCGCTGCTGCTTGTCCCAACAAGCCTCTCGGATCTCCTGCAGCTCCTGGTACTTGATGGCCAGGGAAGCCTTCCCATCCTCCAGCCGTGGGCGCAGGGACAAATTCACCTTGGCCTGGGTGCAATTTGAAGCCAAACACGTTTCCCGCTCCAGCTGTAGACTCTGGAACTGTGGGAAAGGGATTGGGGCCGTACGTGTGAGCAATGACAGAAATGGGCAGAACCAGTCAGATCCAGCACCTTGCTGGGTGGGGGTCCTAGGACGGAACCCTCTTTTTCTGCACTGTCTCCATCCCTCTGCTTTGCCTGGAAAGGGAGTGCATCCCCCGGCAATGCAGCGGCTGGAACCGGGCTACGCAGGATGACCAAACCCGACCGTGGAAAACCTCAGCGCCGGCTGCCCAGCCCCTCTGCAGGGAAAGGGCTCGGCAGAGGACAGGGATGTCATGGAAGGGACACGCACCCTCCCCTCGCCGCGCACACACCGTCTGCACTCGGGGCCACCCGGGGAAAACGCTGCAATCGGGCCGAGAGCGATTCTACAAAAACCTGCGGGAAGAGCGCGGGGCTCATCCCGGCTGCGGAAAACGAGACCAGGCTGAAAGGCGGGCTAGGGGCCGGGGCCTCCCCAGATCTCGGGGATGCGGGGGCAGCGGACGGGGTTTGGTGGCCATAGGTTTGGTGGCCATGGGTTCGGTGGCCCGAGCCTTCAGCACCGGGAGCCCCGCGCAGCCGCGGTCGGGATGCCCGAGCCGAGGTTCCCCCGCCCCGCCGGTGCGGCTCCTCCAGAGCCCTCGGGATTACGGGCATCAAGATAAGGGCAGCGGGCGGCGAAGCCGGGGCTGGCGGGAGATGCCCGGCGGGACTGGGAGATGCCCGGCTCCGCAGTGCCAATTACGGGCCGCGGGCGGCTCTACCTTGCGCACCGGGACAGCCCCGGAGGAGCGAGTGCCGCACGGCCCGGCCGTGCCGGCTGCAGGAGCGGCCCCCCCGGCCCCCCGACCCGGCCGTACCTTCCTGCTGAGGCGGGCGGCGCGCTGCAGCCGCGGCTCGTCCTGCAGCAGAGCGCGGAGCTGCGCCGTGCTCAGCGCCCCGAGCCGGCCCGGGGAGCCGGGCGGCGCCGCGGGCCGGGACATGGGCCGGGATCGGGATCGGGACCGGCAACGGGACCCCCCGCCCCCGCCACCGGGAGCCGTGCGCGCCGCCCCGCGCCCGCCGCCCCCGCCGGTCTTAAAGGAACCGCAGCGGAGCGCTCCCGTTCCGCACCGCGCCGCCCCTGGCCGGGGACACCGGCACTGCTCCAGCTCCG